AGGTTGGTAGTTCTCAGACACAGGCACCATAGGGACGTGTCTTAACACTTGTACAAACTGATGCATCTTCTGGTCCATCAGTTATCTGAGGTATCTTTACAGTGATTGGTTCTTGGGCTCGTATTCTCTTTAACTCTGGTGCATCTCATTCCTTCATTGCATCATTATTTGCACTTATATCGGGGTTAGAGGTCAGTTTCATGGAGCAGGCGATATGCGTTGATACGCCAGTTGGGGTTTTAATGTCCTTGAGTCGAGTTGTGAGGGATTGCTCAATTGTGATAGCCGGGCGGACTTTTGTGTTTGACCTTATCCTCCTGGAGATGACTAGCTTTGACGTCATTCTCAAGATGGATTGGTTAGCTTCATTTCGTGCTACGATCGACTGTTTCAGAGGAAAAGTCACAGTTTGCACTCCCGAAGGGGATTGCTTCTTTTTCATAGGAGATCGAAGTGATTCCTAACCTTCATCATTGTATGGGATTCGTGGACGGAGTCGTGGTAATTACTTCTTGGATAGTCTTTTAGCCGAAGAAGATGGTTGATGAGCACTGAAAAGTACTTATTTAAACCCCTTAAGCTTAGGTATTCTAGGACCTTTATCTATCTTATTTTACCGTTTTGTATTGATTTCATGTTATTTCCATTTTCAGGTACCTATCCCCAAAACAAGCTAACTCAGCCAAATAAGAGCATAATTGAAGTAATTCTGGGATGAATCAAAGAAAGGAGCAAAGTAGAGCAAAAGGAAACAAAGGGTGGAATTTCAGCAACTTCAATCGATCTTAAGAAAAGTTTGATCGATCCAACTTTCATCGATCTCAGCACTTCAAGATGGATCTGAGCCATGTTTGTCCTTGTTCGAAGATTTCAAAAGTTCGATCGATCCAACTTCTTTCTCCGATCGATCGAACATTCTTATCCTTATTCAAATGATTGATCTTACCCAGTTGTACCACCCTACCAACCACTTTTGTCCTTTTCCTAAAAATATCTTCAAAATATCTCAGATTTGTTTTTATTCAAAAAGGCACCGCCATTAAGGATCGATCCAACTTCAGTTCGATAGATCTCAGCCATGTTCGATCAATTCAAGTCCAAGGTTCGATCAATCGAACTTCCTCCAGTGCGAAAAAGTTAAATTTCTAGCTCACAAAAGTTGTCCTCTATCCAATCATTGGGGAATATTTGCTACACGACCCCAGCTCATTTTTGGGTGTCATTTGACCTACCTATATAAGGATAAGGATTACTTTTTATGTCATATCATAGAGGATCCTATTGTATCATATCATATCATATCATACCTTAGAGAACTCTTAAGGTGGAAGTAAAGAAGATGAGGAGGCTAGAGACACCATTGGAGACTCTTCATCAACCAAGGAGCATATTTCTTCCATGGAGCTTGCCTTTGAAGGTTGGAGGACATCATCCATGAGTGGCTAGACATCCTCTTGGGGCTAGAGTTAACCCTAAGCATGCTTTCTACTTCTTGATTTATGTATTTTTGAGGGGATTTGTATTGTAATTCATGTCTTGACACTTTTATATTTATATATCTTGTTTATTCAATGATTTATGTGATTTAATGCTTCCAATTGATCATTTCATTCTATCCATATGTCTATGTATGATAAAATAGATGTTCATGTGTTTATCTCTATTTCTTGTGTTATTGATGCATGTCTATGTGTGTTGATGCTATAGATTTAGAGATTGTCAAGACATAGTGCTTAATGTCATGTTCTTGTAGTTTATTTAATGGTTCATACTCATTTCTTGATGGATTGTACCTCTCCCTTAGTTTAATTAGCTTAATTTCATGTCATTAGCTTAGTTGTAGTATAGTTGTTAAATGGGAGGACAATCCATGCTTATTGTTGATATTCCATACTTATGAAAAGCAAGTAACATGTGTCTCTAACCTTGTGATGTGTTTGGATTGTGAAGTTAAAGAAATGATTAATGGCTTAATTTGATATGTTGTGCTATCCACCATATTGTTTAGACAATATATGCTAAATTTGTAATCCATGCTTAATGAAACAACCACACACACACTTTATATTGCAATACATGTTTTTTCCCTCATTAATCATTCATTAAAGGTGTAAAAAAGTTATGCTTAGTGGTGATCTCTAAACCCCAAGATTTCTCTCTCTTTTATTCTCTCTATTACATTATTGTTTACTTTAGTTTAATTTGCATCTAGTTTAATTCAACCAACCAACAACTATTTTGATCACTCGACCTACTAACCCTAATTTTGATTCCTCAACCTAGTACGACACTCAATCCCTTGGGACAATCCCTACTCACCCTAGCTATATTTTTAGTGAAAGGTAGTAGTGGCAATTTCTAAATGTAAAACTTGGCCACATTCTCACAAACTTTGTTGCGGGGTTGACGACCTCCAAGCAAAAAACGCAACAAGTTTTTGGCGCCGTTACCGAGGATTGATTGATTGGTAACGTCGTATTTGTGGAATCAATTAGGAATTAGTACTCTTTTGATCGTGTCTTTACTTGGTTTTCAAATTTTGTTACTTATTGTGTTTGTTCTTGGTTGACAAAGAGCATTGAGCTAGGAAACAAGCAAAGGATATTCTAAGCAAAGGAGCTAAGCAAGCAAAAGGAAAAATGCTAAAAATCTAAAAAATTTGCTAAGCTAAGCTATAAATTTGGAGTTGAAGTGTTAAAGGACCTTTGTGAGCTTTTCTTTACTCAAACTCTTAGTTAAATTGTCGGCCCGCGTGGACTCTCGTATTTCAATTCTTAGATAAATCGTGAGCCCGCGTGGAGGCAATTTACTTTTCTTGCATATTGTTAAAGCATGGGAATATGGGAACATTTTATGTGGGGGAAGTTTGTTCATTGTTGATTTGTTGTGAAGGAGAAGTGCTTGCTTGTTTTGTTGTGTTTCGTGTGTCGTTAGAAGTCTTGGGTAGTCATTGCCATATCACTCATCCTAAGCATTTACATGGAAAATCTAAAGGGTAATCTTGGCTACTTAGACCCACGTTTCATGTAAAACCACCCTCTTAATCAACATGGTCCCGGAGTTCAAACTCCAATTCCTCCAATGGTCCTTCGTGATCATTGCAATCTTCATGCTAGTCTCGCGGTTTAATCATGGTAGTCTCGTGGTTTAGTCTTTTAGACCGCTGAGTGCATCGGGTACATTATAATCATCAGTGTTTACTTATGTAGCATGGACACGGAATACGGATACGATATGATACGAATATGTTAACGCATACGTCAAATTCTAAAAAAGTAGAACACGAGTATAGTATGGACACGACTATATATAAATATAATTTTTTTTTTTTATATTCATGTATTTAGTAATAGTATTATAAAACTTTAATTCATTTACAATTTCTAAACTAAGAATTGCTCTGAAATGAATTAGAAAATGAAATTATGTCATTCTTGTAATAATTTTTATATCATAGTATTTCACTATTTTGTCAAGATAGTAGTCATATTATTTTCAAGATTAGCGGGTAGATTTGTGTTAGAAATGTCCGAAAAGTGTTGGTGAAGTGTTTGAAAAGTATCAGCGAAACATCGAAAAGTGTCCGAAATAATAAAATTAATTTTTTTTTCAGGACATGTATATGAAGAGTCGGACACGTATCCGAGGAGTGTCTGACACATGTAAGACTTCTTTGTAAAAGTGTCTGTGCTTCTTAGATGTCCACAAATTTAGACAATCGTAATGATTCGGTGCACCATTCATCGAGTACATTAAATATCTTATCCCCACGTGACAACCAAAAGAATTTCTTATTTATTTTCTTTCTTGAAACTATTGAAATTAATTTGTAACTTGAATCATGATATCATAATATGATTCAATTTTGATTTTTGTTTGTTCTGACACCCGTTTTGCTATTAAAAATCATTTAATAAGGTAGGTAATTAGGGTTCTTCTCTCAAAATAATAAGGTGGTAACTAATGTGTTACAATTAGGAAGTAGTGCACTTTCTCGCATTTCAAAGAAGGTGGACACTAGTTTCTTGCTAATGAGACAATTTAGGGTGTTAAGTTTGAATAAATATAGTGCTGCATATACCCGATTTACCCAAAAGATTACATTCACACTCCAACTTTTCATTTAATTGTCATGAATAAAAGACTTGGTACACTTAAATTCTCTACCCAATGAACTTCTTCTTTTTTATTTTATTTTATTTTTTTTTTTATTTTTTTTTTATTTTTTTGTCATTCAAAGGCATAAAGTGAAGATGGCAGTACAAAGACATAAAACCAAGCCAAAAAAGACATATAAATCTTGAAGCAAAGCAAATAAATAAAAAACAGACTCCACATTTATGGAGAAAACAGAGCCTAACACTCGGAACCACCATGAGAGAAAGTAACAAACTAGAGAGACTGAAAAGTCTGGCCATCAGCACGACAACAGTTCCAAAAGTACAATCACAAGGCGCTCCGACACATAAAACCTCACACAAAATCCAATCAAGGAGAAAATGATCAAATCTAAGCGGGAAAAAACCCAAAACCGGCCTAGATCAGAGATCTAGTCGGAGAAGAACAACAAATTTGTCCATGTGAGACGAAAATGAAACAGATAAGAGCAAATCGAGCCGAACATAAACAAAAACAACTTAAAATTTTTTTATGGAGTACACTTATTTAAATACGTCGAGTTTATTGCATCCCGGGGTAACTACTAGCTCCCCTGGAAGGGAGAGGGAGCGCCAAAAGAAGAGAGGACGGCTTCTCGATATAGAGAGAGAGAGAGAGAGAGAGGTGGTAGCGTTTTGCTGTCGGTGAGATTTTTTGATAGACTTTTACCCAATGAAATTTTCAACTGCGTTGAATTTTGTAGGCATAAATTGAGCTAAAGTCATGAAATGGGCCACCCCTAATATCCTAGTGACTGACCTGGTAGGCTGGTACTTCCCATCATTGACTGTTCTTTTCATTGACTACTCTTACTTTCCACAACAACCTCCTCCTCTTAACTGGCCGGTGGTTCCATTTTTTATTTTATTTTATTCTGATGATGGCCAAAACACGGTGACCATTTTTGTAGAAATATTGCCAATGGATATCTTTCCTTTCATCATCTTTTACTCACTAATCTCATTCTCCGTCTTACAATTCTCCACTGCAGCTGATACTTTAACTTCGTATCAATCAATCGCCAATGGTGAGAGTTTAGTATCCTCAGGCCAACGCTTCGAACTGGGCTTCTTTTCTCCCAGTGGTTCCAAGAACCTCCTGTTCTTGGGAATATGGTACTACAAAATTTCTCCACAAACTGTGGTGTGGGTAGCAAACAGGGAAAACCCAATTACAGATTCATATGGAAATTTAACTATCAGCAACGAAGGAAATCTCGTGCTATTCAATGCCACAAAGGATGTCATCTGGTACTCAAATTCTTCAACAACTGTGCAAAGTTCATCCGTTGCACAGCTACTAAATTCTGGAAACCTAGTCCTCAAAAAGAAGAGTACTGATGCTGATACAGAAAGTAGCTACATATGGCAAAGCTTTGATTTCCCATCAGACACACTTTTACCTGGCATGAAGCACGGATGGAACTTAAAGACAGGCCTAAATAGATACTTGACATCGTGGAGAGATGCCGCTGACCCATCACCTGGAGACTTCACTTATGGAGTTGAAATTACTGGGATTCCTCAGTTTGTTCTTCGGAAGGGATCATCAGAGAAGACGTTCCGCACTGGGCCATGGAATGGAGTTCGATTTAGTGGTATTGGTTGGGGGTCAACCACGGTTTTCAAACACAGTTTTATATTCAATGCAGATGAAGTGTATTATATTGACGAGTCTAGCCATATTTCAAGACTTACGCTGAATCAAACTGGTATTCTTCAACGCTTCATCCTGAATGAAGGGAGCTCTGAATGGGCTCTTATGAATATAGTACAGAATGATCCTTGTGATGGTTATGGACGCTGTGGTGCTAACGGTATTTGCAGAATTAACAATAGGCCAATATGTGAGTGCTTGGAGGGGTTCATTCCAAAATCACAGGAAGAATGGGATCAGCTTGATTGGTCCAGCGGATGCGTGAGGAGGACATCACTGGATTGCCACAACGGGGATGGATTTGTGAAACTCAAAAATGTGAAATTGCCTGACCTGTTAGAGTTTTGGCTGAAGGAGAGTCTGAACCTTAAGGAGTGCAAGGCAGAGTGCTTGAAGAATTGTTCTTGTACAGCTTATGGTAATTCAGATATCAGGGGAGGAGGCAGTGGCTGTTTGATGTGGTTTGACAATTTAGTTGATATTCGTGATTTCAATTTCAAAGAGAGCGAGCAAGATATGTACATACGGATGCCAGCTTCGGAACTCAGTAAGCATTCTTGTTGCTATGCTATATAATATTCTCATTCTGCTGTTACCCTTTTCGATGTCAGCCCCTTGAATCCTTCTATGAATACTCAAATAATTTTGTTTGCTCAAATCTTAGTACATAGGTTTCAATCTTTCTAGTAATTATGTCAGTTTCAATTATGCTAATCGATTTTTATTATAATATGGAGGTCTTAAAATGAAATGTTTAGGATTCATGCCTAGAATTTCCTTTATATATGTTTTTCTGAAGGCATGCATGCCCAACAAATGAAGCTTTAAGAGTAATGATGAACTAACGTTTGTCATAAATTTAGACCATGATCAGAAGAAGAAGACACTGGTGCTTATCGCAATGGTATCAACAGTTTCTGGGATGGTTGTCCTCAGCTTGTTAACTTGGTGTATAATTAAGAAGAGGAGAAAGGAAACAGGTATACCACCTCCTGTCTTTGGTATGATTATTGATACATTTTAAAGCAGTCATTGTCATATGAATATTAGACAATTTATGCACTTGGATGGATATTTTGAACATTTTATAAAATCTCATTCCTTCTAAGAGTACTAGACGGTTAGTTGACTGGTACAGTTATCTATTTGCATTTATAACACTTCTGATTGTGCAGGTATAGAAACGAAGAATGAAGATTGGGAGTTACCATTTTTTGATCTGTTCACTATTGCAAATGCCACTATGAACTTCTCTTCCACAAATATGCTTGGAGAGGGTGGTTTTGGTCCTGTTTATAAGGTTAAATAAGTAATATGTGGTTCGATATGTAATAAAAAAAAGGTAAACCTCATCATTTTAACAATTATTTTCAAAAATTTGTAGGGTAAGCTAGCAACGGGACAAGAAATAGCAGTCAAGAGACTTTTGAATAATTCCGGACAAGGTGTACATGAGTTCAAAAATGAAGTTACTTTGATTTCCAAACTTCAACACCGGAATCTTGTTAGGTTGCTGGGCTGTTGCATTGAAGGAGTAGAGAGGATGCTAATATATGAGTTCATGCCGAACAAAAGCTTGGACTATTTCATTTTTGGTCTAGTCCTCTTCACCATTTATCTAATTGACCAATTTCATAGAGCAGTTTATGCATTTATGCAGTAGAGTCCACTGCTCTACTGTAAAAATGATAAGTGATTTAAAACTTATATGGATGGAAATGTTGTGCAGATCAAAATGGAAGACAAGAACTTCCATGGCAAAAGCGATTTGAAATTGTTTTGGGCATATCAAGGGGACTTCTCTACCTTCACCAGGACTCAAGATTAAGAATCATTCATAGGGATCTTAAAGCCAGCAACATTTTACTTGATGATGAACTCAATCCCAAAATTTCAGACTTTGGTATAGCAAGAAGTTTTGGGAGAGATCAAATTGAAGCCAAAACAAAGCGAGTAATTGGGACACAGTAAGTTTTGCAAATGCATGTCAGATAGTACTTGTTCTTTATTTTCAAATGCTTAAATTTGATAATTTTTTGCAGTGGTTACATGTCGCCCGAGTATGCCATGGATGGAAAGTTTTCAGTAAAATCTGATATCTTTAGTTTTGGTGTGCTTTTACTGGAGATAGTGTGTGGCAAGAAGAATTGGAAATTTCATCATCCTGATCACCATCATTCGCTTTTGGGACATGTATGGTGAAATGTATTCTATTTTATTTTATTATTCTCTCTAACTTCCTATGTGAATTACTAAAAATTGAGAATTGTGATTGTTATAGGCTTGGATGCTGTGGAATGAACACAGAGCTATGGAATTAGTGGATCCATGTTTGGAAATTTCTTACATTGAATCTCAAGTACTAAAATGCATTCAAGTGGGTCTACTATGTGTTCAGAAACTGTCAAAAGATAGACCAATCATGTCATCGATTGTTCTCATGTTAGGTAATGAGGGGGTGACATTGCCTCAACCCAAGCAGCCTGGTTTCTTTGTAGAAAGATGTTCCATTGATGCAGAGACATCGACAGGTGAGAATTGTCATACTAGAAATGAATTGACAACAACAATTATGGAAGCCAGATAAAAGTTTTACCTATTGCGTGCAACATGTTGTAGTGATGGAGTTGATACATATAAAAAAGTTGATAGTTCAAGACAGGAAAATAAATGAATTAATAGTTGTAATATATATATGGATGAAAATAAATAAATTAATAGTTGTAATATATATATATGGATGATTTTGTTTTTTAAATCACATTCTTCTGAAATGTTAGCTTTGACTGCTATTCATAAGAATTGGATAATGAGAAGTGGGTGGGGTTGATATATTCTCATTTCTTACTGTTTTAATTTGAGAACTTCCTTTGAAATTCGACATTAAATTAACTATTCAATTCGAGGATTTATTTATTATTATTATTATTTAGAATTAAGAATTGAAGTCAACTTTGTGTCAAGAAGATGAACCTACCTCTTTATGAAGGAATTAACTTTAGGCTGTGGAAATTTAGTTGAGAAATTGATTACAGGTTTCAATTTAGTCTTCTAAGAAAATGGTGATGCAACTTTTAGGCGTTGGGAGTTGGTTGACAAATTGATTGCAGGTTTTAATTTAGTCTTCTAAGTAAATAGTGGGAAGTAGTTGAGAAATTGATAGGTTTCAATTTATTTTAAGAAAATGGTGACTGCATCACGTGCGGGACTATTTCTATCTGTAAGACTTTTATTGCTTGATTAACTACAATTACAGTACTGCGTAGTACATTATTTTTGGGGATTTGAAGACCTCCTTTTATGTTTCGAATGACACTAAAAAGAAATAATGATAAATAATAAAAACTGTCTTTGCATGAAAACCTAGAACTACAAAAGCAGCATATGGAATCCAATATAACACAGTCTTTGCAATACTGAATAATTGCGCCTAAAACCTCATAATCAAAAGCAGCATATGGAATTCAATTTAACACTGTCTTTTCATTAAAACCTAGAACTACAAATATATATACATATATGTATATGCACAAACATGAACTTATCAGTCTAATTATGAGCCCTCAATTATTTGTCTTTATACTACATGTTGATGCGAAAATCCTCGCAACTCGGAACGACGGCGTTTACTTACAAAACAAAGAGATGTCACCTGGAATGGCACCGGTGGGGTTCCGGTCAAGGACCCTCCGACGATCAAGTTAGTACTTGTAATCGTATTACATAATAGTTATGTATATATTGTTTAGGAGTTTTTTCTCGTACCTTCTTTAATGGCTTGGTGCTCTATTTATGGCTGTCGATTGGAATCAAATTGGATCCGCCGATATCGATGGTTGATCTTATCTTCCGCTTGTGCGAGATCATAGGAGATTTGTTGCTAGATTTGTCGGGGATATAATTTAATCCTTTTGACCTCCTCCAATTATAATAGGATTATTCTTACCTGTTAAACCACATCAGATTTCATTATCCCTGATAATGAAATCTAATCAATCTTATCGAGGGTAGGGTAGGTTTATATTTTTCCCTATCAGTTGCCCCCCATTCTCAAACTTGCACGTCTAGCTTTGGAAGTGTGATAAATAAAATTTGTTTTTTTACCCCGGTGAACAGTACCCGCGGGTACTATTCATGTGAATAGTAACTCAGATTTTTTTCAACCCCTGTGAACAGTACCCATGGGTATTATTCATGTACTATTCACGTGAATAGTAACTCAGGATTTTTTTTTTTTTCCAACCCCTGTGAACAGTACCCCCACGGGTACTATTTTTAGTATCATTGGGTACTCTGCCCCTGGGTACTCTTCCCTTTAGTAAGGAAATAAATTGTACGAGCTTCCCTCAGGTCGTCACTCCTTCAATAAGGAATTTTATTGACTATCCTTTATAGTACGCGGATATTAATTACGGGATTCATTCAGCCCGAGTCCTTGTAGTACAGGACATTTATTTACTATCCCTTATAATATGGGGATATTGATTACAGGATTCATTCAACCCGTCCCTTTAGCAAGGGTATAAATTGTACGAGTTTTACTCAGCCCGTCCCTTTAGTAAGGGAATTATGTTTTACGAGTTTCACTCAGCTCGTTCCTTTAGTATGAGAATTAATTACCACATAAGTATAACACGTGAGGGGGAGGATCGTTTTTTGACCTGACCTTTGTAGGTTAAGTCTTGATCTCTGATGACCATGCTTTTGTCAGTTAGGCCCTGGTCTTGGTCTCTGATGACCAGACTTGGGGTGACCGGGCACTGATCTTGGATGACCGAACCTTTGTAGATTTTGGGCAATCAATTCTTAATCTTGGTTGACTAGGCCATGGTTTTGGATAACTAAGCCTTGATTTATATTAACCAAGGATTGTACCCTTCCAGGTGTGTAGAGACTAGAAACCCGACTAGCTCGATGTACCAAGGTACGTTAATCTTCTGAACCTTGTCATCGTATATAGATCGACGATTGATATCGTGTGATCCACTATTCTGCCCCCGATGTTGGGATCTTAGGTGATGACCCATTCTATAGACGTTTATGCAATGGACGGGGTGTCTGGTACTGCAAGGGAAGAAAGGTGACGACTGTCTTCTAGTAGGTAGAGGCTTAGTGTCCAGCGACTGGCTTGATGCCTGGTGGATAGAGGCGTGGTACCCAACGGCTGATAGATGACGGTCTGGTGGTCAATACCAGATGACAGTCTGGTGGCCAGTACCTCGTTGGGTTAATGATCGCCCTTAACTTAGGAACCTCTTTGGGAATGTAGACCTTATTGGACATGGGATCTTGAGGGACATTGGACCTCCTTGGACCTGAAGGCCTCGATACCTTCTTGGTTGTAGAAGGCCACCCTGATAGCACGAACGAACGGAGTAATGAGACTCTGTTGCTAAAGACATCCTCAATAGTAAAGGCTTTACTAGTAGGTAGAGACCCCCTTGTTAGTAGTGATCTTCTTGATGGGTGGAGACCGACCCATTTATGTAGGTGCAGAAGGACCAGGTCTTAGTCTTCACCGATCAGGCCTTGGTAATTAGTTGCTGCCCGATATGAGATAGAGTCTGGTCTTAAATGACCAAACCTCCGTAGTGAGGGGACCAAGCATCACTAGATGGAAAATACCACAGTGGACTGCCTAGGTCGACGTGCCAAACTATTGTCATCGTACACTAGGTAGCATCATGCAGCCCATTGTTTTGCCCCAGTATGTTGGACGGGTCATCAAGATGTAGAGTCCCATCCATATATAAGAGCATGGAAACCCGTTGTCAACTGATGACTTTGGGATGGTTTCCATGATCGGAAACTTTCGTCTTGCCGTCCGAGCCAAGTCGTGCCAGGATTATTATTTCTTTAGAGAACTAATCATTCCCACAGACAGCGCCAACTGTTGATGCCAAAATCCTCACAACTCAGAACGACAGCGTTTACCTGCAAAACAAAGGGACATCACCTGGAATGGCACCGGTGGGGTGCCGGCCAAGGACCCTCCGACGATCAAGTTAGTACTTGTAATCGTATTACATAATAGTTATGTATATATTGTTTAGGAGTTTTTTCTCGTACCTTCTTTAATGGCTTGGTGCCCTATTTATGGCTGTCGATTGGAATCAAATTGGTTCCGCCGATATCGATGGTTGATCTTATCTTCCGCTTGTGCGAGATCATAGGAGATTTGTTGCCAGATTTGTCGAGGATATAATTTAATCCTTTTGACCTCCTCCAATTATAATAGGATTATTCTTACCTGTTGAACCACGTCAGATTTCATTATCCTTGATAATGAAATATAATCAATCTTATCGAGGGTAAGGTAGGTTTATATTTTTCCCTATCACTATATTTCAAATGAAGATGTAAACCTAGAATTAAACCATGGCGGTGAAAATTTGGTTATCTCATTCAACGCCCTTGCTAGCATGCAGAAACATAGAGTGAGAAAAAAAAAAAAAAAAAAAAAAAAATTGCTTCGCAATTTCTCCCCCCTTCACATAAAAAATAATAGAATAATAATAATAATAATTTACGGGAGTTTGGTTTTGGGTAATGTATCCCCTTTCACCAAAAAAGTAATAATAATATTTGTCGATATTGAGATTCTATATGCTCCATGTTGACTTTAGTCATGAGAGATTTGGTGGTGGTAACGGCCTACATTAGTCTATTACGTCCGTAAACATTTAACTGTGCGGGCTCATCTACCTCTCCAATACTTGGTAAATTCAGGCAAAAGGCTTTAGTTTATTATAAAGGGCATTTGCGGTGTTTTGCCTTTTGAGAAATTTTGTCTTATTTAAACAAAATTAATTATAACAGGTGGGTTGATAAATGTACAATAACATCCATTGGAAAGCAACTTACACTCAAATTTATGGGGCAAGTTGCTTATTTTTTAAATTACATAGACTGATTTGCTTACTTTTAGACTACAAGGGAGTATTTTGTTCATTAGGTGAAATTTCAGGGGAATTTTCGTACTTTTGCCATTTCTTTTCTTAAAAATTCTGAGATTAATTAATTTATCATAGATTCACTTGAATCATGATAACACTTTTAACTTTTGCTATTTGTCGAATAATTTCTCCAATTTTTCTTTCCTTCTTTCATTGATAACTTTTTTTTTTTTTTTTTTTAATAGATTTTAAGGTATTTCTTTATTTTTCAAAATGAAAGGTCGAAGGAAAGTCTTTGTAGACCAAATCCAGGTGTGAGTTTATTTGAAAAATAAAATAAAATGAAAAATCTGTCATGATTTAAAAGGTCTAAGAAATATATTATTAATAAAATTAAAGGTAAATTGCATATATGATATAACCTACCTCACTCAATTATAAAATACTTCCAAAACGAAAGGTCAGAGAAACACACACAAGCTGACAGCTTGATATAGCCATTAACGGACAACCGAAATTACCATGTTGCCCATTAATTGAAAGGCATGTTTCATGTGTTATTCAACATTAGTTGCTGGTGTGGTTGGTTTGACAAGATATGACAACCTCTACCTCTGTTGTAATTGTCAAGCCTTGGAACAGTGATTTAACTTACAAGGTGTTTTTTTTTTCATACGCATTTGACATCCATGACCATATCACCGCTTAAAGTGTCGTTAACGTAATAAGGCCTTTTTTGACATTTCATACACATTTGACATTTTTTACATCCCTGACCATTTAAACGCCACAAATGTGGTTAATATAATAAGGAAAAAATTATTCATTGTAATCGTTACAAGATGAAATGATGCGACGGAGATTACAATCACTTCATCAAAACACATTTATCAATTTTTTAATTATATTGTAAGTCTACTTTGCTTTAGTGGAGTGTT